TTTTTGTAACTCTCATAACTCACTGCTAAGCCCTGACTAGCTGACATGGACACCTCATAACACTCTGATTGGACATAGGCTCCCCTGCTTCTTGAACAAAGTTTCTAAGTAAGCCATTATCTCTCCCTCTGCTCAAAAAAGTATATGGTTAATGGTTACTAAGCAAATTAATATGCTAGACATCAAAGGTCATATAGAACTACAAGAAGATGTAGTGGCAAAATGGGCAAAGAGAGATTAAATGCATTTCATGTCAAGGGTCATAAAGCAGTTTCGGAAAGTATGGCTTTGAAAGAAGATAAAGGGTGAGGGTAGAGAGGATGAGTAAAGAGGTTCAGGTAGGCATTAGTAAAAGGGCTATTAGATCACATGGAGGATATGTATGCCTCTGAGGATGGAAAGGAAAAAGGCAGGGACTAACAAAAGGGGGTTGGGGGGTTAAGGGCAATTAGATCAAAGAGCAGTTTGAGCAAGAGAAATATCAGGAGGGGAAGGATCCAGAGGTCACTGTGGTGACAAAAGGGAAGGAAGAGGGGGGTGATGTAGATGAAGTAGGGAGGGGGAGGGGGAGGGTGTGTGTGAGGAAGGAAAGGGAGGAAGGGGTATATGTGGAACATGTGTAGGAAGAGGATGATGTCAGCAGTCACTTTGAGTGTTGAGGCAATTGGAGCAGAAAGATTGGAGGATGGCTGAGGAATAGGTATGCTATTTTGTAACATGATTAGACTGTTTTGAATGTCCTCAAGAGAAATGGAGTTGGGTGGAGAGGTCTAAGAAATTAAGATTTTCTTATGAATAGGAGCAGAGGGGACATATGTTTAAGGGGTAGAGGAAGAGGTACTTGAGATGTAAGAGAGGATGCCACAGGAGAAGATCGGGTGGAACGTCTAGACTGTCTGATGCAATGAGGAGGAGGGGTAGGCACCGAGGAAGAAGAGACCAAAGTGTCTAGATTTAGAATGGCAAAAGAATTTGACTGATAAAGGGAGGAAGAAATACTTGGGGAGATGGGGAAACATTCTTGCAGCAATGGGGGAGGAGCAGCATGAAGGACAGTACTGGAGTTGGCAGCAAGAGAAAACCCCCATCAGAGTGCTTCTTGCCTGGCCTCTCAGAAAGTGAAGTCTCTCATAAAGTGAAGCCAAGTTTGAATATGAGGACTGCTACTTCAGACTCAAATTCACGGGTAGGGCAGCATTTTGGAAACCACCACGAATATGCATGATTGTGCAGGACAGGGGCTGGACACAGAAAGAGCAACAGGCTGTGGAGGGACCATTGAAAGAGTGGCCAAAACACTAACATTTCTGACAATGACAGGGGAGGGGTTAATATGGTTGGACAGGGCATGATTCTCCACCAATATAACCTTCATGAGGGAGGTCATGTCTAACAAAGGTAATTTTGGCAATAATGGTGTAGGACTTTTGGAGGATAAGGTGGCACTATACTTCTGCTGCATCATAGTCAACAAGGCAGGCAAGAAGGTTGTTTTTAGTCTGATTAATAATTGTTAAAGACAGGGCAATCAGCCAGGGAGATGGAAACAGTTCCAATGCAAATATTAAAGGAGTGATTCCACATGAGCTTAAATGTAACTGTGACAAGATGTGAATGATCAGAATGACTGTGGAAGGAAGCTTTGCCTACTTGTTTTTGTAGACATTGTTGCAATAGGAATGAATTGTTAGAGTAAGGGGCTGTAGGGGGAATCACAAAAAAAATCAATCCCACTTACCTGGGCTGAAAAGAGCATTTAAAAGATTTGTAAAGGTTGAAGTAGTTGAAGAGGATGAGAGGAAGGAGTGGTTTTGAGTGAGACAGTACTGGGGGTGGGGGACAATAAGGATGCAGAGTAGTAATAAGGGAGGAAAGAGTTGAAAATGAAGAAGACTGGAGGATGAGATGTTATAGATGTTAGTAGAGACTAGGTAATGACCTATGGACTGGACTGAGCTGACAGCAGGTATTCAATTGTGGTCAATGGAGAGCCTGGTTCAGGGAACAAGAAAAGGTAATGTCAGTGGGGGCAAGGTACAAATTTATTACTGGACATGGTAAGCCTTGAGTACATGGGGAAGGGAAATGGTTCACCCTTCCCTTCCACGAGTCCATTCAGAACTGACTCAAACCAGCCTTTTATTCTCTCAACATGGCTCTCATATCTTAGGAAGTGGACAGAAGGGGTTGGAGAAGAAAAGATCACACACAAAACTGAGGACTAAGGCCCAAGGCAAGGGAGATCCCAACAATGGGCCTCAGTCTCTGTCTCCTAAGCCATCCCCATAACAACAGATATCAGTAGCTTAGTTTTCATTACATAAAATGAAATTGAAAAATAACAATTTGGATAGCAACATTTTGGTAGTTCTAAAGATACCATTACAAAACAAATGGCATAATTTTCTTTGTTGTTGATAATTTAGTGTTAAAACTAGGGGAAATAATACTGATTATATAGTAATGATACTTTTAGGTAACTACTTTGCCTATCCAACTTACAATTATGTTCAGTGGAATATTTTTTATATAAGCTTACAATTGTGAACCATTCAGTACTGCAATATATGCATGTAATATTTTTCATATAATCTAATATTGGCGAATGACTCAGCATTTCTTTATGCAATTAAAACAGACAGAAAGAGTCATATGATAAATAGATAGATGCCAACTAAAATGGAGTGGTATGCAAAAATTCACATATATGAATTTTCAAAAAATTTTCCTTTTTTTCTTCTTTCTCTCATTATACATTGTCATGTTTTACTCAAATCAATTCATATCTGGTATATACACATAGGATGATATGCTATTTGATCCACTAAAATAAGAATAAACAAAAATATTTACCCTCCTTTCTAGGAAGAAAAGAGTTTACTTTTATTACAGTTATCATTCTTAACCCAGTCGGCACGGATGACAAGAATACATCCCATGCCCACTGTAATATAAGTTTGTTTACTGTACTTACACATAGATGGCTAAACAAGTGCTTAATCACCAAGGAGTCAGTTATTAGCACTACGTATCTCACATGCTTACTTGTGAGATAGGTAATGTTACCAAGATTTTAATAACACTTTAAATAATAATCATAATATCAATAAGAGTAATAACAGTATTGATATCAATAGTATTAGAAAAAAAAAAAAAAAATCCCACGATTTCAAGAGGTGGGCAAATCAGTAGTCACTAAGGCCTACTGATATACTCCTTGGTGGCTGAGCACATGTGGAGCCATCTGTATATAACAAAATTCACAAAACAATACAGGGAACTGTATATAAATCTGGGTTAAATTGCCAAATCCTAAGAAATGAAGCAGCAATTGTACTATTTTCTCTCGAGGTCAGTTTTTTCTAATATATTTTCAAATATATTAATGAAAATCTTTGAAAAAAACAAAATAATGTTCCTTACAGCAAGGTCTTTGGCCTTGCACAGCCACTTTACAAACCTATGAATATTCTAAGAATACATAATTTCCTATTTCCACCAATACAAATTCTGATCATTTAAACTCACACTACTTGATTCCACACACCAGGAAATCACTATGTATCAAATACATATATATGACATAGATGAAAAATGAACAGTTTGTGGCCAGATTGCTCTGGCCACAGGAGCCTCAGCAGGTGGTCTCTAATATCTCTCAGAAGGATGTGAGCTAGAACCTTTCCTGCTATCTAAGCAGTGCAATGCCTCAGTGATTGCTGCAATCCCAATGATCCCCTTTCCCTTTCCAAAGAGGAATGACCACACCTCTCAGAAAGGACAGAAATAATAAATTATACAATAACATATATCATAAATGATATAAACTCATAAAAAACAATTACAGACGTAATAGCCAAAGCAATAAAAGAAATAATCCCAATATTTTAAAAATCACAACAATACGCTATAAATAAGATTATTTTATGGAATGCAAGATTACACTTGACAGCACTCGCAGTATCTGTATACAGACTAGACAGCAATCCAATAATCCCAGGGGGGATCCCACGGAGACCCAGTAGGCTCTAGACTCTCTCGAAAGCCTTCTTGAGATCAACATAAGCTGCAGTCATACCTTGTTGAAACTCAAGTTGGCATTAACATCATCATAAATGATCTTCAACATCATCATAAATGATCTAAACTTGTCTGAAGAACTGAAAGAGAAGAAAAAAAAAAACAACCACAACAGTTACCAAAAATCAAAACAGAAATTGAAGAACTAGAATTCACCAAGAGCCAAGATATCCTGGGATTAAGATTTGATTCACTAAAACTAAAATGGATAAAACATATGGAAAACATCAAAGTAAAATCTCTAAACAGAATAAATATAATGAAAAAAATATCCTTAAGCAAAAGAGAGAATCTCTAATAAAATTTTATATCTGTGTAAAACCAAAAATAGACTATGGACCGGCCATAAAAAGAAAAAGAAAAAGAAACAGAAAGAAAAAAAGGGGGGGGGGATATATATAAATTAGAAACAATACCCCAATAATATCTTTTCAAGCCCTAACAAACAAACATCAACAATAAAGTTATTGGAAAAAACAAACAACATGCCACTAAAAAAATAAATAATAGAAGTTATATAGCACAACCACTACAAGAAAAACCCTGGACTAACAAAGTCACTGAAACACAAAAAACTTTTGTTAAAATCTATGGAAATGCACATTACCAAGTTGTGAAGCCACATTATATATATATATATATATATATATATATATATATATATATATATATTATAACCAAGCAACCTTACCTAACCTCCAATTGGGGGCTCTCCCTCCTGGTCCACCTCCCACTGGGGTATTTACCTATTGGTGGCTCCCAGATTTACCATTGGGGTAGTTACCTATCATAGCTCTGCCCCTAACTCCCCCCATTGCAGTAATTAATTATTGGGGCTCTGCCCTAGTACCCCCCTGTTGGGGTATTTATCTACTGCACGATGTTATTCATGATTAACCCCCTGGACCCCAAGTCTTTACCTTTATTTATCTGGAGGAAAGAGCTGAGCCCCAGCCAGGAGGAGAGGGTACACCTGCTTGCTGGCCTATGGATGACCTCTTCCCGCACTGTGCTACCTTTTCCTTGAGTATCTCCTAAATTTGTTCAACATTGTGTGGGCACCGGTGCTGGAGTCAACAAAGTTATGCTTATGTTTAAAACATTTGTCCTGAAGGCAATCTTAAGCCTTGGTTCACGTGTTACCCTGGATTTGAGACTTATCACTCTTGGTAACAAATACCAAAAAGTCTAAAGAACTGTAATACATGAAAGAAGAACAAAATAAAATGGATGTCTATTATGAAATGGCTACCCGTACTTTTTAAAACATGAAAGAATAGAAAAATGGATGTCTATTATGAAATGGCCACCCGTACTCTTTCCAAAAAATTATCAAGATGTCTTCTGAACATTTACCGCGGATTGGTTCAAGAAATTTACCTTATTGTTACAGCTAGAATAGGTGGTGCTCTTAACAGTTTGACTTCAATGACATTTCCAGGCAGTCTATTTCGCCTAAACAGGCTTCCACACGATATATGAAGTACCAGTAGACTGAGTGGGGAAAGTAGACATCCCAGAGATTTATTGCAGTAAAGCTGCCGCTTAATCTTTAATGTCTTCAGAAAGGTCAATTAGTGAAGTCCTTCTTGAGTATTATTTCTTCTTTTATAGGGTTTTAGACTATTGAATACTTTTTCTTTTCTTCCCCCTGTGCCTGTAGATGCGGCCTCGGGACAATGTTTTGATTCGACGGAGGGCTTTCGTTCGAATCCCTGCCAGAGGCTATCCACGGCTTGACTTTAGTTTATAAAATTCATGTACAAATTTATCTGAATTCTTGTGATTTTAGTGTGGAGTTTTGAATTTGATTCATTTTTACATACTTAAGGTTGGACATTGATATGTTGGGTAGGCTAAATTGTCCTTTTTGTGTTATTAACCCATGTGATATCATGACCTATTTTCGCGATCTCCTCATTGTTGAATATTAAAAAATACATATATCAATTTATCAATAGATTAGAATGGATAGTGACATATAAAATTGGGTAGCTTTGATAAGAGTATATTGCGCATTTTCGGAATAGAGAAAGTATACCAACTTGTTCCATTTTATTATAAGATAAACATAACCTATCATGGAGAGCCATTCAAATATACAGAGTACCATATGTTTGCAATATATTGCAGGTAAAGAGGAAGCTATTGCAAAACGTGAGTTCCATGTGGCTGCGAGGACGACGCATCCCGCGAGTCTCTTGTTTGTGTCATCCGCCATACTGGCTTGGCAGCAACTTCCGGCTCACGTTGTTTGTCTGGCTGTGTCACTCACCTTTTACGAGCCTAGTATAACAAAATGTCGGAGACGGACAGCGGGACAGCGGAGTGCTGGGAGGCGGCGGCAGACGACAGCGGCGACAGCGTGGAGGCGGCGAGCGCGGCCGTGACCACCACCCTCAACGTTAACGCCCCGGTCTTCATCCCCAACGTGAATGCCCCAGAGTTCGTCCCCAGTTTCATGAAGGACAACGCAGGACACACCCAGCCAGCGGCGCCAGGTAAGCCAGGGTTTTGCGGGTTATCATTGGGCATGGGGCAGGGGCCGGCTAAGGGCGACACTTCGTGGAGGAAGGTAACAGCTGCTTGGCTGAACCCTCGCTGTTTCTCGGAATTCTTCGGAGGAGCACCTCCGAGTCTGAGTTTAGCGAAGGGAACTCACACTTGGTGTTGCTGCGCCTCACTTGGGGTCTGCCCACGAGCCGCTATTTCATTTAAAAGACTCTCCATGGCGGCACATGGCGTTCTGGGTCTCGCAAATCATGAGGCCAAGTTCATCACGATGCGAGGAAGCTCGCGTGGAGGCTAAAGTCCTTATTTAATGCCACTAACAAATTAGTCAAAGAGTCGGCAATGTGTAATACCAAAGGAGTTGTTTACTGTTTACAAAGATAGTGACTTGCCTGCCATTAATAAGGTGTTGACCTATAAATAGGGACAGTGTCCATTAAGGTCTCAGGCTCCGTGAGCTTTTGTACAGCATTTTTGGATGTAAGTGATTGGAAAAAAAACTATTTTGAATATTCCCTGCGTCATCTACGAATCAGGCATAATAGTTTAGAAGTAATACACTGAAACCAGTAACTGACTCATCTAGGGAGGACGTGGAGATACGTGGGAAATTGCTGGTTGTACATCAGTTAAAATCTTAATTATGTATATATCAGAACTAATGAGCAAGATGGGTCTTAGACTAGTTCCTTATTTTGTTGTAAATTGCCAGTTAGAATTATGAGTGCACTCATACCAGCTGCTCCCCTCTGCTTATTCAGTATTTTTGCTATTTAGCAATTTATGGTCTCTTGATAGTTGCTAGAAGCGACTATAACAGTATTTTGCAACAAAGTGACTGTATATTTGGTAACGTAATGCAATGTCTATTGGTTAGTAGATGTGTGGGAAATTACTTACTATACTACAGAAAAAAATTAATTATGTCAATATCACAAGTGATTAACAAGATGAATTGGCTATTGTAACTGAGGAACGGAAATTACTTACTATACTACAGAAAAAAATTAATTATGTCAATATCGCAAGTGATTAACAAGATGAATTGGCTATTGTAACTGAGAACCAAAAAGAGTCTTAAAACCAGGGTTTCATGTGTACCCAAAATTCAAACCTAAGCTCTCATACTTTCTATTTTTGCCCCAGACTGGGGGGCAAGCCTCCCCATACCTCCCCTTTATTAGCACTTTTTGCCAATTTACCAAAAACGAACTCTGGCTGTGTGATGGTTTTGTGGACGCTGTAACATTAACTGATGGGTCTTAGACTGGTTCCTAATTTTGTGGTAAATTGCTTGTTAGAACTATGAGCACACTTATGCCAGCTGCACCCCTTTGATTATCCCAGTATTTTTGCTATATTGCTATCAATGGTTTCTTTGATCGTTGCTAGCAGTTACCATAACAGGGTTAATGTCACTGAGAGTGATGTGAGATAGAGGGAAATGGACACTGCCATGTTATAAAGCATAAGAAATAGAGTAATAAACGGCAAAGGTACAGCTGCTCTGGCCTCATATATAGCATGCGATGATGAAAATGTCCTCTGCACATCACTGCTTAGATATAGACCACAACACCCTCACACCCCCAGAGATCTTAACGTTGCATTTATTGTAAGTGGGCATAAAGTATTCATAAAAAGGAGTAAAGGTAGCCTTCCCCCTCCTGTCTAGGGGACATATAGAAGTTAGGAAATGAATGATGAAAACGCACTACCATGTTGATACTATGGTAGAAAAATCTAGTTTTTTACATTGTGGGTTTTTCTACCAAGGTAGGAAATGTTAAGTTTGGAATTTGAGTTCACGTGATACCCTGGTTTTGGGACTTTAACTTTAGAAAGTTCATTCCTCTTTGTAACAAATACCCCATTATTGTATTTTGCAAAATGGGTAATTTCCTAGAACAGCGTTACGTCTTAAAAATCATTGTACAATCATAGTGTTAGTTAGAGCACGGCTATAATAGGTGGGGAGGGCATGAGATGTCAGGAAATGATGGGATTGGGCAATATATTAGTACATTTTTGCTATTGTTAATGGCTCTACCTGAAAACATTATAGCTAACTAGATGTAACATACTAATTGTTGACAGGTATGCCAAAGCTTCACCTCCTCTAATCCCAGACAGTATTTTTATCTTCAAATTTATTGTTGCGTGATGAGAATAAATCCATTGATCATTTCTATCGCATTCATAGCAGACAAGCTTGATGTGATAGTCCTGATAGCAGGGATGTATTAATGATGGGGTAAAACAGGTTGAAATAAGAATATAGAACATAAATGCATAAAACTCATACAACAAACTCTTAGAATTAGCTAATGAAATTTTATGGACGTGCCTGGCATCTTTGTAAATCTACAGATTGATAGGGCAACTTTTGAAAAATTATGGGAATCTAACCCATCTCTCGGTAAAAGATATGGTAACACACACCATATAATGCCCGTGTTATTCGTACAGTATGTCCTAATAAATGAACCAATCTAACGTAACCCTGTGCGATTTAAACAATACATTCTACATAGTCCTTTGCCAAGGGGCTTTACCCCCTCTATGTGATTTAAATATGTTTTATATATTCTCTAGCCAGGGGGCCCTGACCCATAGGGCCCCAGCATAAGCAACCCAAAGTGGAGGGGGAATGTAATTTCACTAAATTGATTTGAATTTCCATGTTTTCTTAGTATGAATTAAAAATAATTTGCTCACTGGAAACCACGTATCTTCACACTTTTATTTGCTTCAGTCTATTTCTTCTGCATAGCAACTCTATTGTTTTATAAATGACTCAGAATAAATGCAACACTGAAAACGAAAATATTCTAACTTTTGTTTGTCAAGGAATGGAATCTCCCAGTACTGTCAAATATCCTGGTAGCAAAAATCTACATGTACTTAATGTTACTGTTAAGAATAGCATAAATAATTGTTAAAACATTAACCCAACGGTGATAGGTTAAGAAAACTTAAAAAAAAAAATTCTATGCTCTGGCGATCAATGGCAGCGCGCAGACTTTGAGCTTGGGAGTTCAGTACATCAAGCTGAATCACAGCCTCGCCATGCTTTGGCGCGCCACCTTGACAGATTACAGTAAGGAGTAACGTGGTCATAGATGTGTTTATTGTTGCAATTTGAAGGACATGGATAAAGATGGGTCAATCTTCTTTCTTCTGTCATGTACCTCCTTTGTTTTTGGACTTGAAATGCTGACTGTCATCCATTAAAAATTTTCCCAATTGGTACCAAGTATGAGAAGCTAAAAGTAGGATGACTATAAATTATATGGCTCAAGTTGCTCAAAGAAATGGCAAGATCGTGTGCCTGGGAGGATGACATGATACAGTATCTACTCCAGGTTTTCACACCTTATTGCTCTTTATCCCGCATTTGTATGGCAATAATGATATAGTATACAGTAATGTGGCAGTCCAATTAAGGCCCCTTTGGCCAGTGTTTTTAATTGATTAATTTGTAATGTAGCAAATATTAAGAATAACTACACAGGAAAAAAAAAAAAAAAAAGACATTTGGCAAGTGTGAGACATCTTGGAACACTACTCCTTAGGCTTACTGTTACTGCTCCTTGCCCCACTGCCAGTTATCACTCTTGATATGTGTGTAAGTGTTGAAAGTGTTAGTAATATATATGCATTTCTTGTGAGAAATTGCAAGCTTGGTTTGCAGAACTTTGTGGATATAATTGCATATCGCGTATATTCTTAGGGATATGTAACATTATTATTTCTGTCCAAACTTCAAGTAGTTAAAAGACCCAAAAGTATTGAGAGGATAAAAGGCAGTTGTATATATTTTAGGCATTATTTGATCATGTATTCATAACTATGTGACAGTTAAAAGATCTGGCAATTAAGTGAAAATAAGCATAGATAAATGTTTGTATATCATATAATTGCTCAAAAAAGAAATTGTGGGAACTAGGGATTGTTTGTTGTCGTCATGAATGCCGGTTACACGGGCACTCAGCCAAAATTCAGCCAAATTGTGAACAACTAATAGGATTGGCTGAGAATAGAATATAAAGGGAAAAAACTAAACAGTATACATGTGGTCACTTGATGAATGCTGCTTCTCAGTACCTCACTGTCTCTTCCCCTCCTCCTTGTTAACGTCCTACCCCTCCTGCAGTTTTCTTGTCTCCCCTCATGTGCACATTGGCTCTTCCTGGGTCTTCTTTAACACTTACAATCCCTATTTAGTGATATGTTAACGCCTGTAAGGTCTCTCACAACCAAGCGATTTACCTTTAAATTTACCTTAGTAACAAGTCAATCCCTTGGATAGAATAATGAAAGAGAGAGAGAGAGAGAGAGAGAGAGAGAGAGAGAGAGAGAGAGAGAGAGAGAGAGAGAGAGAGAGAGAGAGAGAGAGAGAGAGAGAGAGAGAGAATGATGATAGAGAGAGAGAGAAAATGATGAAAGAGAGAGAGAGAAATGATGAAAGAGAGAGAGAGAAATGATGAAAGAGAGAGAGAGAGAGAGAATGATGAAAGAGAGAGAGAGAGAGAGAGAATGATGAAAGAGAGAGAGAGAGAGAGAGAATGATGAAAGAGAGAGAGAGAGAGAATGATGAAAGAGAGAGAGAGAGAGAATGATGAAAGAGAGAGAGAGAGAGAATGATGAAAGAGAGAGAGAGAGAGAGAGAGAGAGAGAGAGAGAGAGAGAGAGAGAGAGAGAGAGAGAGAATGATGAAGGAGAGAGAGAGAGAGAGAGAGAAAGAGAGAGAGAGAATGATGAAAGAGAGAGAGAGAGAGAGAGAGAATGATGAAAGAGAGAGAGAGAGAGAATGATGAAAGAGAGAGAGAGAGAGAATGATGAAAGAGAGAGAGAGAGAGAATGATGAAAGAGAGAGAGAGAGAGAATGATGAAAGAGAGAGAGAGAGAGAATGATGAAAGAGAGAGAGAGAGAGAATGATGAAAGAGAGAGAGAGAGAGAGAATGATGAAAGAGAGAGAGAGAGAGA